GATGGTTTGCAACTTCGTGTTTCTGCTTTTTTATAAGTTTAATCTGGTCAGCCCGGTTTCGGTTGCATGGGAAACTAGCTTTGCCCCGATTTGAAACCCATTTGAAACAGGCTTCTCGGCTACTCGGCGTGAGTGCGCAGTAATCTTATTTTATAACGCACGGTGCCTATAGACCACTCAGAAACACAGAAAATAATAAAATTGAGACACATCGTACAGGGGCGCTCCTGAACCGAATTGCCAATCCATTCAAGTATCGGGTCGAACAAAATGTTATGCAACTCTTTGAAATTACATGGGCGTAGTTCTGTAATTGATACCTATTGTTCAGGGGGTGATCTATTCATTCACCCCCCCCCCTGAATAATAGGTATTACGTAAGGATTCAGTGGCGGATCCAGGGGGCCCGGGGGCCCGGCCCCCCTCCCCCTGCATGGGAAAAAAAGGGAAAAAAGGGGGGGGGGAGGAGGGGAAAAAAAGAAGGGGAAAAAAAAGGGGGGGAAAAAGAAGGAAAAAAAAGAAGGGTAATAAAAGGAGGGAAAAAGAGAGAGAGAGAGAGAGAGAGAGAGAGAGAGAAGAAAAAGAAGGGAAAGAGGAGAGAAAGGGAAAGAAAGAAGAGGAAGAAGAAAAGAAAAGGGGAAGAAGTGATGGGGGGCGAAAGAGCCTCGCCTCCCCCTCCCCCAATCAAAAAAATAAGAGAGAAGGAAGGAAATAGAAAGAAGGGGTATCAGTTGCTATTTTTCTGCCAACAAGTTGTTGATCGGGGTGGGGGTGGGGAAAAATGCCCTTGTCTCCCCCCGCCCCGCTAAAAAAAAGAGAGAAAGAAGGAAAGGGAAAAAAGGAGAGCTAAAAGGGACCGAAAAAAAAGGTGAAAAGAAGGGGAAATAGATCATTTGCAGTTAATCCCGCCAACAACGTGTGGAGAAGGGTGGGGGCCGAAATGACCTTGCCTCCCCTCCCCCCCCCCCCCCATCAAACCTTAAAGAGAGAGAAGGAAGGAGAGGGAAAGGGAAAGAAAAAAAGAGAAATAATAAAGGTAGGGGAGATCAGTTGCGATTTTTCCGCCAACAAAGTGTAGATCGGGGGGGGGGGGTACTGGCGTATTGATCGGGGAGGGGGCTCGGGGGAAATAAAATTTAAACGTGGTTTATTTCTAATTCCATTACGGTGGTTTACACAAGTCATGATGCTGAAATGACATAATTTTCCGAGATTTTTCCTCATTCTTTAGTAAATTATACTTTTTTTTATGCGTTTGTACGTTAACAGCCAGGCAAGAAATATGCTTCTTGAGATGCCTACATGTCAGGGCCCGCTGAACGGCGGGGATCGGGAGCCTCCAGCCCCCCCCCCCCCCCCAATTTGTTTTGGAAAAGCGTTTTAAGGAGAAATAAAAAGAAAGAGAGCAAGAAAGAAAAATAGTTAACTACCAGTGTCACAACAAATAAGGTAACAAAAATTGCTCATCTGACCGTAATTAAACGCCTAAACCCCCTGAGCTTCCTGGGGCTCTGCCCCCTGGACCCCACTGGATGCTAATCTGACGGTAATGTAATGCCTAAAACCCATGAGCTTCTGGGGGCTCCGCCCGCTGGACCTCACGCCAATCAGTGTCCTGCCAGTGTCACAAATAAGGTATAAAAATATGTTCATCTGACCGTAATCAAATGCCTGAAACCCCTTGGAATTCAGGGGTTTCCGCACCCTCGACCCCACCAGGGGCACTGAGGCGGGTCCCTGAATGCTTATCTGACCGTATTTTGCCTTCAACCCATGAGTTTCCGGGGGCGGACAAGGTATCAAAAGATGTTCATCTGACCGAAGGCGCGTAGCCAGGGGGCAGTGGGGGCGGCCCCAACCAAAAAAAAGCCGGCCAAAAGAAGAGAGGAGAGAAAAGAAAGAGGACGTATGAAGAAAAAGGAGCAGACAATTTTTTTGTTGAAATTTTTTGAAAACTGAATTCAGACGAGGATTATAATGAACCGTCTTCTTTCTCTAATGATATAATGAAACGTAAAAGCTTCCGAGCTTTGCTCGGGAGGATGAATTTAGACGAAGATTAAGAGTAAAAAACGGTACAACGAATCGTCTTCTTTCTCTAATGATTTAATGAAATGTAAAAGCTTCCGCGCTTCGCGCGGGAGGGGGCAAACTGTATTCAGACGAGCAGTCGCGTACGCAGGGGGGTGGGGGGGGGGGTTGAACCCCCCTTCGGTTTTTTTTATGTGTGTATGTTAGAGCAAACCCCACCCCACCCCCCTTGTGATTTTTTTTTTTTTTAAATTAAAAAACAAAAAATAAAAATAAAATTCTGCCAATGGCTGACCAAAAGAGGTGACCTTACCCCCCCCCCCCTGAACGGAACAAAATGTCAATTTTTCAAATTTCGAGACCCCCCCCCCCCCCCCCCCCCCCCAAAAAAAAAAAAAAAAAAAAAAAAAAAAAAAAAGTATGATTTTGATTGAAAATGGAATGGAAGTTAAAGATAGATTTATGCCTATGATTATTATAGTGGTACCTCTTATTCCTAGTTTTCCTTAGTTTTTAAGTAGATATTTCCTCTACCTATAGTTAGGCGATATAGGACCTAGTAATGAGACCGTTCGTTTTTGAGGTTTCATGTCGAGCAGTATAACATAAATACATATTATTGACAAGTTTATCTAGTGATCTTTCTTGGAGTTTTGGTGGCTCTGAAAAGAGCCGTTTGTAGTAAATGTGGCGAAGACCAATTTACTTGGAGGTGGTGTACTTGGTGACAGCCTTGGTGCCCTCAGAGACGGCGTGCTTGGCCAGCTCTCCGGGGAGGAGGAGACGGACAGCGGTCTGGACCTCACGGCTGGTGATGGTAGACTTCTTGTTGTAGTGGGCAAGACGGGAAGCCTCGGCGGCGATTCGCTCGAAGACATCGTTGACGAAGCTGTTCATGATAGACATGGCACGGCTGGAGATACCGGTGTCGGGGTGGACCTGCTTCAGAACCTTGTAGATGTAGATTCCGTAGCTTTCCTTCCTCTTTCGTCTCCTCTTCTTGTCACCGCTAGGCCTAGGGGCCTTAGCCTTCTTCGATCCCTTCTTTCCTACTCCGGTTGCAGATGATTTGGGTGGCATGATTGTAGTCTGAAGAATACAATATTGTGGCTGCCAAGTGGATCCCGACCGTATTTATATGCTGCGCTGGGATTCCGAACTTGGCGGGATATGCAAATTATGTGGACTTTGATCGCTGCGAGTTTGCAGCGTTCCGGCGCTCCTCAAAATAATTTATCATAAATTATTATAATCATCGACCGGTGAGCGGTATTGTTCGTGCACTGGCAGATTTCCACATAGTCTTGGGGCAGGTGCACTGGAGTATATCGTTAAAACATGAATGAATGAATACGATAATTGCAGACCCATGGGCTTGAGAACGGAATAGTACACACAATAATGCGCTTAACTATTATGTATAAAATATGTATAAACATGTATATAATTATATAGGCCTACTATCATTATTATTATTCAATACACACAATAATGCGCTATAACTATATGTATATACATGTATATGAATATATAGTAGCATTGTTATATATGCATATCAGTGTAAATGTACATATATATGTATATGTGTATATAATAATGTATCAGGAAATGAGAGAATAATACATAGTTGCTATAGCTTAAATCAAGAGACGGCTTTCTTCCAGAAGCTTTGGTATTCATTGTATTCAAGACTTTCCCAATGGCCTCCCTTTTGGAAAATTTTACATTGGCATTGGCATTGTAATAGTAGTCACTTTACGGAGATGACCTATTACAAATTGCCACAGAAATATTTCAACTGTTATAAAAAAATATACTTAGTATCATGTAAAGAAAAGTTATAAGGAATCCGAGTGGTGAAAACTGTTAAAAGTAACTAAAATCAGTGATACTATTTCCAATTTTCCATAGGTGTTAATAAAACAGAGCCAATCACATAGACCAGCGATACTCGGTTGAACCATGGACCTAATTTGTATTAGGTCCATGGTTGAACACAGCCAATGCACATTCTTTGTGCTTGTCAAACACTCAACAGAGTAAAATACACCCAAATTACATGATAGTTCAGCATTCACTTGCAATAATAAATAGTATCATTGCCGCTTTATTCAAATATTTAAATATATATATCAGTATTTCTATGATGATCACATAGATGCTCGATATATATGAATATAAATATATTTTCCTAAACAAAGTAATAAAGTGAAGTTTTTTCAAACGGAGTAACTGCTCGTACACTCATCTATATCAAGGGTCTGAATTCATACGACTACTAGGGGAATCCCCTCTTTAGAGTTTCGCGATGTCAGTCGTGCGGTAATGTCGACACGGGTTTCCTGACTCGTAAGACAAAGTCCTTGATCCTCCATTAAATGTAATTTCTAATTGTAATTGGGGAAGTATGGTGGCTCCTAAGGGACACGCAAACACGAAAATTTGGCGTATACCTATGCAACATTTTTTTTTGTTTTTAACGTCCAAGACGTGAAGAAAGAAAAAAAATGACGTATATACCTTTGTTTGGTCATTTTTTTCATTTTTTCTGTACTCAATGGTCCTGAAGGGAGAAAATATGAAACGCAGATGTGAATATTTGACGTGAATTTTTTTTCAGTAAGCTGAGCACCTACAAAGCACTCCAGCAAAGCATAGAGAGTCAATGGGGGGGGGGGGGGGGGGGGGGGGGGAACATTCCAGTTGTTCTATTTAGCCTGTTTGGGGGATATCAAATCACAATTTTGATATACCTTGTCTCTTTTTATTTGTATGTACATGTTCATATATATTTGCTTGTTCGGATGCTGTATCCCAAAATGGGGTGTCTAAGAAAACAAATCTAAAACCTTCTTTTGACATAAATTTTTTCACGGGAAGTATGCCGGCCATTTAAAGATTCTGGATTTTTTTTTTTTTTTTTTTTTGGTGGGGGGGGGGGGGGGTATTGCAATTTTTGTTCTTATTTGTCACACCTGGGAGAATATGTTACTCATAACAAGAATTGGTGGGATGGTGGTAGAGGTATTGTGGTTGTAGAGGTAGGTGATGATAGAGGTAGAGGTCGAGGTATGGTGGTGGAAGAGGTATGGACGGTGGTAGTGGTAGATGTAGAGTGGTGGTATATAGAGGTACGGTGATGGAGGTAGGGTGGTGATAGAGGTAGAGGTCGAGGTATGGTGAAGGAAGAGGTATGGACGGTGGTAGTGGTAGATGTAGAGCGGTGTTATATAGAGGTACGGTGATGGAGGTAGGGTGGTGATAGAGGTAGAGGTCGAGGTATGGTGGTGGAAGAGGTATGGACGGTGGTAGTGGTAGATGTAGAGTGGTGGTATATAGAGGTATGGTGGTGGAAGAGGTATGGACGGTGGTAGTGGTAGATGTAGAGTGGTGGTATATAGAGGTATGGTGGTGGAAGAGGTATGGACGGTGGTAGTGGTAGATGTAGAGTGGTGGTATATAGAGGTATGGTGGTGGAAGAGGTATGGACGGTGGTAGTGGTAGATGTAGAGTGGTGGTATATAGAGGTATGGTGGTGGAAGAGGTATGGACGATGGTAGTGGTAGATGTAGAGTGGTGGTATATAGAGGTACGGTGATGGTGGAGGTAGGGTGGTGGAAGAGGTATGGACGGTGGTAGTGGTAGATGTAGAGCGGTGTTATATAGAGGTACGGTGATGGAGGTAGGGTGGTGATAGAGGTAGAGGTCGAGGTATGGTGGTGGAAGAGGTATGGACGGTGGTAGTGGTAGATGTAGAGTGGTGGTATATAGAGGTATGGTGGTGGAAGAGGTATGGACGATGGTAGTGGTAGATGTAGAGTGGTGGTATATAGAGGTATGGTGGTGGAAGAGGTATGGACGGTGGTAGTGGTAGATGTAGAGTGGTGGTATATAGAGGTATGGTGGTGGAAGAGGTATGGACGGTGGTAGTGGTAGATGTAGAGTGGTGGTATATAGAGGTATGGTGGTGGAAGAGGTATGGACGATGGTAGTGGTAGATGTAGAGTGGTGGTATATAGAGGTACGGTGATGGTATAGGTAGGGTGGTGATTGAGGCAGAGGTAGAGATATGGTGGTGGTGACAGGTAGAGGTAGGTTTGTGGTAGGTCTAAATTCTTCCTCTCATTTAAATGAATTTTTGTGATCTGTCACGAACTCGACAAGTCTCGTTTATTATCCCATTGCGACTTATCTTGTGTGCATTGTATATACCCTAATGTACTCGCAAGCATGAATTATTTATATAATACTCTAACTTGATTAAACATCAAACTAAGACCCTTACAGGGAATGAAATTCAAAATGTTAGGCCCATTACGAGATATTTCTATGTACGTTATTCAAGTCTTTATTCGAGATACGCCTACCAACATCCCTCACGCCATCCATATCCTCTCTCTCTGATTCTCTCTCCCCTCTCTCTCTCTCTCTCTCTCTCTCTCTCTCTCTCTCTCTCTCTCTCCCTCTCTCTCTCATTGTCCCTGTCTATCTGTTCCTCCTTCTCTCTGCATTCTCTCTCTCTTTCTATCTCCCCCTCTTGTCTCTGCGTCTCTCTAGCTCTTCCACCTACGAATCCCTTCCTTCCTCCTTCGAATTTCCCTCTCGTCATCTCCCTCCCATCTTCAAGCTCTCGTACCTTCTCCCTTGGTCTTTCATTCTTCATCTTTATGTCATTCATTATCTTGTCTTATTTCATTCAACCTTTTTTAATACTCTTGGTCTCCTTCTTCTTCTTCTTCTTCTTCTTTTCATGGGTCTTCCTCTTATTGGAGGCCATTTTTTTTTTCTTTCTCAGTTCAATTTAATACAATTATTTATAAATGAAACATTTGATTTTGTTGATATATAGGTTTTAGCTCGCCCATGATCCGAGCTTCACCATTGTCATTATTTTGTTTATTTGAATGATAAAGTGACGTCATTTTATTTCTACTTTTTTCCCCCTCTTTTATTGTTGTTCCATTTTAGCATTGCATATTGGTCTCGAATGGCGGGAAATGTTTTTGAATGATTGATACACTTCACTATGCGTAAATTATTATTTGCTTGCGCTTTCTCATCAATGCAATTATCATTTTATGATCACCTACTTATCCTAATCATAGTAGAAAAAAATTCGCTTTTCAACAATTATACTTTAGCGGTGTTCGTGTTATGGCTCATCGAATGGATAATGATTCATTGCACTCCTGGTCTCCATGGTGATCATTCTGCTCATCTCATTTGTGTTTGTTACCAAATAATGGTTTCATTTAGGGGGGTATTTCATGTCTTTTTTTTTTTCTTTCGGGGGAGGGGGAGGGGACGGCCACAAGTAATACAAAATTAATCATATTATTTGTGTACGGTAGTAGATTCAGTGGAAATGATTATACAATATTTAGATTTGCACTGTTTGCCTAAATGAATTATGTAACAGAATGAATCCCCCGGACATAATGTCGATAATCAGAGTACATTGGTGAGCATTAACCAAACTTGCTCTATCACTACTTTGTATTTATTTAGTGTGTATCTTCTGTGTCTATATTTTGAATGTTTCTTCACAGAAAGACATTAAAAGTTTATTGAATACTTGGATAAAGCCATTAACCCATGGACATACAGAACAAACTACTGCTTGGAAATCGTCCCACTTTCCCAACCTTCTTCCAACCGCATTTAGCATTATTTGGTTCGAAAACATAATGCACAATCATAACAATGAATTCTCTCTTGTTAGGTGTAACACATGCTGTAAAAACAGCTTAATTTTAATAATGTCACAGCAACCAACAGCAAAGAAGGAATAAGAGTAAAGGAAAACGTTTTGCAACGAAAGTCATATTTCTAAATGAAATGTAGTCTTGACCGATGCTGAGCACATCGAGGCCTATATCATCCATACGAAAGCACTATAACATACCCTATTATCTGACTATTAGAATACTAGGAATTAATTTATGTTCATTATAATTAAATAAATATTCCAAATACAGATACATATTTTGCACTCTACAGTATACATAATATATTTAAATGAATCCCACTCAAACATTTAAATAAACTGATGAAGGTATATTTATGTTCACACCGTAAAGTGTATCAGAAGATTAGATCTTCGTCATCGTCAGTAATACCTATGAACAACACATTTGAATAAAAAAAAGTTATTAATATAATTATACTGAAATATTATGTACAAGTAGCGTATATGATTAACAAACAATTGATAGTGATTTTTTATACAAGTGTCTCTAATCGGTTTACTTACTTAGGTAAATAATTCGATAGCTTCTGCTGTTCATGCATTCTCAAAATTTTACGAGACTGCATTCAAATTCCGTACATATTGACATTGGGCTATTATAATGTTTCATGCTTTCGTGTGGCCAAGATATGAAACTCTTATTTATGAGTATGGACAGGATTGCAAGTATTTGAGCAAACATGATAATAGCCTATCACTTCAAGGAGTTTATATCATGCATACAGACTTGTTACTAACAATGTCTGAAAATTTCGGTTCGTATCTCGTGGTTTACATGGTTCCATTAATTTCATATTGGAAATCTAAACAGAATATAAAAGGAGCATATAAATTAAAAACAAAACCTCAACAAGACATAACATGAACAAGATAAGAACGTATCTTTTTCATCGTTCCTCTAAAACAACCCCGATAACTTCAGCATTAGCCTATATTCTAGAAAATATATGCTGCAATACGTAGAAATGTGACTTTCAAGCATTCTTCCTTTAAGATGAGTTCACATCGGCATAAGTTTATCTAAAGCGGGGCAGCTAGTGCCGGTATATACACAGTGTTGGAGAGCGAGAGATTGTAAAAGTCCGAAATTAAATATCCTACCAGCAATATTTACAACGCAATTTTTCTTAAATTTGTAGGCACACTTTGTGTAGTTGATCGAACCCCCCACTTTTATGACATCGAAAAACCTCGGCGTTTTAAAAAAATGACATATCTTATTGATTGATTGATTTTATTCGCCAAGCCTCAACATACAACAATATGTAAGAATAACAGATAAAAATTAAGTCAGCTTGAACAAACCCATGAAAGCTTATTTCCAGTGGGGTCCCCGACATATACACAATAGACCAGTTCACGGTTAGCACATTACTGCAATGACCCCGAATATCCACAGATCTTAAAACCATGAAGAGGTCCCACTTTGTATATTTTGAAATAATCACTCCTACAGCGATGGAGGTGCTATAGAAATAGCCTTTGTTTCCCCTTTTCAAAGAATACTTCCACCTGTGTATCATGGAGTGCACTGAATGTGCATGAATGTATAATGTTACATAACTTTCATGAGCACGAATCCAGTATTTCGTCTCCGTTAATTTCAAAATTTGTTCTGCAATGACCTTTATCTGCTCATGCTCAGACTACAACCGTGAACTGGCTTATTAATAAGTTAAAATCTTATTATTTACAGACAGATAAGAAAAAAAACTTATCAAAGATAATAATAACACAGAGCTCAGTGAATAAGCGCTGGTTGCCATTTATTCCACCCCCCCCCCCCCTCTCAAAAAAAAAAAATCTTCATCTGTCACATGATATATATACATATTCATTATCTTCAAGACTTTTCTCAATATATTCATGACCTGGCCCAAAGACTGAATATTTGAATTAAACTTATCGACTACAAAATGTTTACCTAGAGTTTATGCGTATCCGTCCAAGAAGAATTTTTCATTAAAGATATCGGAATCTCAAAAGATTTTTATTTTTTATTTTGTTATACTTACCATTAGAACAATACTAGTTCACCTTTACAGTGGATGAATGTACATTAATCTACGAATCTACGGTTCTAAAATATCACATCACTCAGATCGAGCAGTCAACTCCAGCATCTTCAGCGTGTCCGCAGTAGTGGTTGCCCCATCCGCCATTACTGCAATCAGTCAACCTGTATTCATTTCCCGAACAGCCGACATCATCGAGGTATATCGGGCCAGATCCCTGTCCGTATGTTGCACCACTCCTGGCTACACCAACATTGCCTGAGTATCCAAGCTGCCGACAAACTACCCTCGCATCAGAGTCATCCCAACCGTTATCACAGACTGTCCCCCATTGACCTTCATGGAAGCTGATCTCAACCCTGCCTTCATCTGAACTGTAACCGTCAACCAGCCGGAATAAGACCTCTATACAGTGCGTCCAAGAAAAAACGAAAACGAGAATTATCGATGTTTTATTAGAACTTAATCACAATTAATTTATAATTAATAAATGACACATATCTGTAAAACTTAGATCCTCCTCTTTCATTTGATGCAACTCATATGTTGCATATTTCACGCATGAGTGATTAAAATGAATTTGAAGAGAGGAAACCAAAGAGTCATTTGGCGGACGAAATCTACATTTCAAAGAGAAAATCACATTTCCAGAAAGTTGAGTATCTGCCCTTCCATATGACACCTCAGTCAGGAAAAATGAGCTAGGAATAACAAAGTTCTATTTGTTTAAAGTATTGATTGCATTTCCATAATTTTATTAAACGAATTCGTTTTCACTGGCTGCCGTACGTAGCAACAAACGGAATTAACAAAAGACTTAACTCCGTTTCATTGACAATCAGCCGTATTCGAAAGACATTATGCATGGGTGATTGTCAACGATAATTCTCGGTTTCGTTTTTTCTGGGACGCACTGTATAGTATGAGACTCTCCCAAAACAGTTACCCTATTTTACCCGTATGATTTCACCCCTCATTGCCAAAAAAAGGTCAAAAGCTCGACCGTATAGTCGTCGGGTTAGCCCCGAGAGTCCCCAAAACTAGCCCCAAAGCCGGGTCGACTTCATGCCATGTACCTCAATCTAAAATCTTTGCCAGTAGAAAGTAATGAGACTGAACATTACTTTAACACACACAAATAATATAAAAACAGACAAAATTTTCTTCGGTATGGGATGTCTGATGCCTCCTAAAAACTTGTATCAATTTTTCTTTTTAGGTTCAAGGACCACATTTTGTCATGAGAAAAAGTTGCGACTTTATTACAAAAGCATAAGAAGTGAAAAATAAATAATGGTTTTCTGCCCCCCCCCCCCCCCAAAAAAAATGCTCTGGTTCTAGTTTAGACAAAGTGTGCGATTAAAGATTAAGTTGAGTTCTGGTCATGCGATTGCATTGTGAAAGAAACGGTGTGGAATCGATCAGAAAAGGTTAATCATCTAGCATATGTAAATATGGTGTGTACTGCAAGGTTCTTGAGTCATTAAAATGATAAAAAATTTGGCCCAGTCTCGGTAAAGTTACAAACACTGTACACAGAAATACGTATATGGAACTGCACGAACATGTGGCGTAAAAATCCGTCCCGATTTTTATGCTGTTACATGCCATATTTAGAATATTAAGACATTTGAAGAGCCATGCTTTTCAGGGAACATTAATTGTTATCTGATGTTCTTCTACACTTGCATAATGACAATGATAACGCTCACAAATTATTTTTCACCTTTTCCCAGAACTCAACTTCTCTTTAAGTCGAAGAAGAAGTCCCCATGAAGATATTAGGAGCTCTCTGCATCAGTGTTGAAGATATTTACACAAAATATTGGAAAGATAAGTTCGCCTATACATTGGGAAAATGTACATGTATCTACGAACGGGGGTTCTTTGTTTCTACAAGAAAAGGCACTGTAAATATCCTAAGTTTCAGTGGTCGCAACCTACCTCCACAGTAAACTCCAGCATCTTCATCGTGTCTGCAGTAGTGGTTGCCCCATCCGCCATTACTGCAATCAGTCAACCTGGATTCATTTCCCGAACAGCCGACATCATCGAGGTATATCGGGCCAGATCCCTGTCCGTATGTTGCACCACTCCTGGCTACACCAACATTGCCTGAGTATCCAAGCTGTCGACAAACTACCCTCGCATCAGAGTCATCCCAACCGTTATCACAGACTGTCCCCCATTGACCTTCATGGAAGCTGATCTCAACCCTGCCTTCATCTGAACTGTAACCGTCAACCAGCCGGATTTTTCCCTCAATTTCATCTTTCAAAACAATAAAACGAAGGAATAAGACCTCTATACAGTGCGTCCCAGAAAGAAAAAAACGAAAACGAGAATTATCGATGTTTTATTATAACTTAATCACAATTAATTTATAATTAATAAATGACACATATCTGTAAAACTTAGATCCTCCTCTTTCATTTGATGCAACTCATATGTTGCATATTTCACGCATGAGTGATTAAAATGAATTTGAAGAGAGGAAAACAAAGAGTCATTTGGCGGACGGAATCTACATTTCAAAGAGAAAATCACATTTCCAGAAAGTTGAGTATCTGCCCTTCCATATGACACCTCAGTCAGGAAAAATTAGCTAGGAATAACAAAGTTCTATTTGTTTAAAGTATTGATTGCATTTCCATAATTTTATTAAACGAATTCGTTTTCACTGGCTGCCTGCCGTACGTAGCAACAAACGGAATTAACAAAAGACTTAACTCCGTTTCGTTGACAATCAGCCGTAGTCGAAAGACATTATGCATGGCTGATTGTCAACGAAACGGACTTAAGTCTTTTGTCAACTCTGCTAGTTGCTACGGCAAGCAGCCAGTGAAAACGAATTCGTTTGATAAAATTATGGAAATGCAAGCACTACTTTAAACAAACAGAACTTTGTCATTCCTTGCTCATTTTTCCTGATTGAGGTGTCATAGAAAAGAGCAGAAACTCAACTTTTCAGAAATGTGATTTTTCTCTTTGAAATTTAAATACCGTCCGCCCAATGACTTTTTGGTTTCCTCTCTTCAAATTCATTTGTTATCACTCATGCGTTAAATATGCATCAAAGGAGTTGCATCAAACGAAAGAGAAGGGTCTAAGCTTTCCAAATTATGTGTCATTTATTAATTATAATTGTGACTAAGTTATGATAAAACGTCGATAATTCTCGGTTTCGTTTTTTCTGGGACGCACTGTATAGTATGAGACTCTCCCAAAACAGTAACCCTATTTTACCCGTATGATTTCACCCCTCATTGCCAAAAAAAGGTCAAAAGTTCGACCGTATAGTCGTCGGGTTAGCCCCGAGAGTCCCCAAAACTAACTCGAAAGCCGGGTCGACTTCATGCCATGTACCTCAATCTAAAATCTTTGCCAGTAGAAAGTAATGAGACTGAACATTACTTTAACACACACAAATAATATAAAAACAGACAAAATTTTCTTCGGTATGGGATGTCTGATGCCTCCTAAAAACTTGTATCAATTTTTCTTTTTAGGTTCAAGGACCACATTTTGTCATGAGAAAAAGTTGCGACTTTATTACAAAAGCATAAGAAGTGAAAAATAAATAATGGTTTTCTGCCCCCCCCCCCCAAAAAAAAAATGCTCTGGTTCTAGTTTAGACAAAGTGTGCGATTAAAGATTAAGTTGAGTTCTGGTCATGCGATTGCATTGTGAAAGAAACGGTGTGGAATCGATCAGAAAAGGTTAATCATCTAGCATATGTAAATATGGTGTGTACTGCAAGGTTCTTGAGTCATTAAAATGATAAAAAATTTGGCCCAGTCTCGGTAAAGTTACAAACACTGTACACAGAAATACGTATATGGAATTGCACGAACATGTGGCGTAAAAATCCGTCCCGATTTGTATGCTGTTACATGCCATATTTAGAATATTAAGACATTTGAAGAGCCATGCTTTTCAGGGAACATTAATTGTTATCTGATGTTCTTCTACACTTGCATAGTGACAATGATAACGCTCACAAATTATTTTTCACCTATCCCCAGAACTCAACTTCTCTTTAAGTCGAAGAAAAAGTTTCCATGAAGATATTTGGAGCTCTCTGCATCAGTGTTGAAGATATTTCCACAAAATATTGGAATGATAAGTTCGCCTATACATTGGAAAAATGTACATGTATCTACGAACAGGGGTTCTTTGTATCTACAAGAAAAGGCACTGTAAATATCCTTAGTGTGAGTGGTTGCAACCTACCTCCACAGTAAACTCCAGCATCTTCAGAATGATCGCAGTTGTGGTTGCCCCATCCGCCATTACTGCAATCAGTCAACCTGGATTCCTTTCCCGAACAGCCGACATCATCGAGGTATATCGGGCCAGATCCTTGTCCGTATGTAGCACCACCCGTGGCTACACCAACATCGCCTGAGTATCCAAGCTGTCGACAAACTACACTCGCATCAGAGTCATCCCAATCGTCATCACAGACTGTCCCCCATTGACCTTCATGGAAGATCTCAACCCTGCCTTCATCTGAGCTGTAACCGTCAACCAGCCGGATTCCTCCCTCAATTTCATCTTTCAAAATATATAGAACGAAGGAATAAGACCTCTAGTATGAGACTGTCTCAAAATAGTCACCCATTTTACCCGTAAGGATGTTGCGTTACGATGGTCGCTGAAGAGTGACGTGTTTTTCGGGAGCTCCCTTTTTCGCACCCCTAGCTACGTGGCAGAAAGAAAAATCATCCCACTCAATCTTCGAAGCGGGACCTCAACTGGGACTATCGGGACAGATCCCTGTCAGCTCGCATCTTCCGACACTCCAACCAACCCCGCCCCTTCAGACTTTGAAGTACAATATTTGTTCGGAAAGGAATTTCTGACATTCGTTCAATGCTTTCTAATTTTGAGGAAGCTCTAGCCTTCCAAGATGCTCGTACTACAGAGTTATAGAAGATTACCCCACTTGAGAAGAAGGGGAATGACTTAGTAGCCTGCATTTTTTACCCATGAAACCCGTCTGCAGATGGCAGAGTTAGCTGAAAATAAACTGAAACGTTTTTCTCGGAGAAACAACTTTAGATTGTCGGAGTACCTTATTACCCTAATGAGAATGCTATGGATGTCCCAAAAGATTATCTCAAGAGATATTTCGGTACGGAAAACCCACAAATTGAACGTGCCCATCGAGACGGCCCCCAAGACAATTGATTATGTCGTTTTCCAGCAGAGAAAAAAGCTAGAAAGTTAGAAAATATACGTCAAAGACGATTTTGACAAAGAAGGATAGAGAAGAGAAGAAGAAATGGCTGAAGGAAGTCATCAATGCTGCGTTTCTTTCCGGAACGCGTTATCATTTCTTTGCCGGAATATGGCATTTATAATTTTGTTTTTGGTGATAATTATTTATTTTTCGTGTTTTTTGATAATTGTATTCTGTTTAAAAAAAAAATCAAAAAATCTCTAATTTCATTATTATTATTTTTTTAATAAATTTATGATAAGTTAAAATTCATGCGTCCGGTAATAACCGGACGCATGATTTTGCCATGCATCCGGTAAATCTGTAAAATAACCAATTTTTTTTGTATTTTTGACAATTTTGGGGGCCCCATTTTATAAAGCAGATGATGCACAGGTTTAATTTGTGGGTCGGTGGAATTGTGTGCACGCGGTACCTTTGAATTTGGTCTACAACCCACACGGCTGCGCCTCGTGGGCTCAAACCATTCAAAGGTACCTTGTGCACACAATCCCTACCGACGCACTCAAACCTGTGCATCATTTGTAATACTGGACAAAATCATCACATAATATTACATTCCTAGCTGTTGACGCCTGAGTGGCTGCCGAGAACATTATGATGATGCTACACGTTGTAGCAAAGTGAAATTAAATAGAGAAAGAGAGAGAGAGAGGCATGCATGGAGAGACGGCAAGATAAAATTGGAGAGAGAGAAGGGAAGTAAGAAAACATGCAAAATAGAAATCGAGAGAGAAAGAAAAGGCGAAGAGAGAGAGAGAGAGGGGGGGGGGGGGGAGAGAGAGCGAGAGAGAGAGAGAAGAGAGAGAGAGAGAGAAGGGACGTGAGAAACAATATACAATATAAATCGAGAGAGAAAGAAAAAGTTAAGAGAAAGAGAGAGCGCGCGAGAGAGAGAGAGAGAGAGAGAGATTAAGTTTTCTTACGGGTAGTTGTGGTAGGATGTGAGGTGGCGGATTCCGTGGTGGACATCGTTGTGGTGTCTTGTGTTGTAGTTGATTCTGAAGAATAAATGAGATATAAAACACCTGATGATACAATCTGGGGGCAAAATACATTTATTTTCTTATTAATCAAACTTTAACAATTATTACTGGACAAATCACCACATACTATTGAAGTCCTAGCTATTGACGTCTGAGCGGCTGCAGAGAACATTATTATGATGCTTCACGTTGTAGCAAAGTAAAAGTGAAATAGAGAGAGAGAGAGAGAGAGAAAGAGAGAGAGAGAGATTAATTTTTCTTACGAGTAGTTGTGGAAGGATGTGAGGTGGCGGATTCCGTGGTGGACATCGTTGTGGTGTCTTTCTCTATTTTACTGGACAAATCATCACATGATATACTATTTCTAGCTTTTGACGCTTAATTGGCTGCCGAGAATGATGCTACAGTCACGTTGTAGCAAAGTGAAATTAAAATAGAGAAAGAGAGAGAGAGAGAGAGAGGTGTGTAGAGACGGCAAGATAAATTGGTGAGAGAGAAGGGAAGTAAGAAAACATGCAAAATAGAAATCAAGAGAGAAAGAAAAGGCGAAGAGAAATAGATAGATAGAGAGATAGATAGATAGAGAGAAAGAAAGAGAGAGAGAGAGAGAGAGAGAGAATGAGGGTTAATGACTAAAATGAGAAAATAGTAAACGGAAAGGTTGAGTATGGTGAGAGAGAGAGAGAAAAGAGAGAAAAGAGAGAGAGAGAGAGAGAAAAAAGAGAGAGACAGAGGGGGGGGGGGGGGGAGATAGAGAGAGAGAGAGATAGGGAGAGAGATATGGTGTAAATGAAGTTTTATTACCAGTAGTTGTGGTAGGATGTGAGGTGCGGGATTCCGTTGTGGACATCGTTGTGGTGTCTTGTGTTGTAGTTGATTCTGAAGAAGAAATATGATATATACACCTGATAATACAACCTTGGGGCAAAATACATTTATTTTTCATTTTGTCAAACTTTAACAAATCTTACTGGACAAATCATCACATAATATTGAATTCCTAGCTTTTGACTCCTGAGTGGCTTCCGAGAACGATATGATGCTACACGTTGTAGCAGAGTGAAATTAAAATAGAGAAAGAGAGAGAGAGAGGCATGGAGAAACAGTCAGATAAAGTTGGAGAGAGAGAAGGGAAATAAGAAAACATGCAAAATAGAAATCGAAAGAGAAAGAAAGGGCGAAGAGAGATAGAGAGAGAGAGAGAGAGAGAGAGAGTGAGAGAGAGAGAGAGAGTGTGTGTGTGTGTGTGTGTGAGAGAGTGAGGGTTAATTACTAAAATGAGAAAATTGTAAACGGAAAGGTTGAGCATGGTCAGAGAGAGAGAGAGAGAGAGAGAGAGAAAAGAAATAAAAGAGAGAAAAGAGAGAGAGAGAGAGAGAGAGAGAGAGAATGAGCGTTAATGACTAAAATGAAATAATTGTAAACGGAAAGGTTGAGTATGGTGAGAGAGAGAGAGAGAAGAGAGAGAGAGAGA